GCAATATTAATTATAGAAAACAAAGATTCACTTTGCAAAGTTGCAAGGGTTGAAAAGTTGTTTTGCTATAATTAAGGGAGAGAATATTATAATTCGTTTCGAAATTCTAAAGCTTAGATCGAGAAATGTTAATAAATTTAGTCAAGGATACATAGTGCATTCTCAATATTCGATTATGATTACGGCATCCCTCTTCATAGTTCGAATAGTGGGAACATGACAAATAAATATTATGGCAGAAGGATGATAAAGTATCACATCTTTATGTGAGACATTATGCATCGTGTCCAATACGCTTCGGGTATAGGATCGATTGCATATGCTATAATATTTGACCATTCTAAAATTTTCCAAATGCCTAGGGCATTAAGAGGGAAAAAGGACTAGAACTGGATTTGACTAAAATAATTAAACAACTATCAAAGGACGATCTGAGGTTCACTGAGGATTTGTCGCTTGTGAGTAGTTGGAAGTATAGTATTGGATGGACTATATTGACATTATTATGAATAGATAAGATTCTATTAAGAATGAGTTGTCATATGGCAAATATGAAAATGTTTCCATTAATGGGAGTTGGATATTAAGAAATATGTCTAGATTAGAAACTTTTATGCAAGAAGGATGTTCAAAGGAATGTACTTTGAATGTGAGACTTCACGTCTATGGAATTGTCTTGTAACAATTTCCGATAGAATACCTTGTAATTTCATTAGCCGGGTCTTGGTGACTTTTGTGCTGTGACATTACGAAAGAATCATTGCATAAAATGTTAGAATCTGACATATTCTAAAAGTGGCAAGAATTTGGTATTCTTATACTAATAATAAGGATTGGGGATTGTGAAATGAGTTTCATTGGAAAAGTTTTTCAATTGATCTATTTCACAAAGTATGGACCATATGAAACCAAAGTGTGCATGCTTGGAGCATGGGACAATTGTGGTTATAATTCGAGTAATAAGTTGATTTTCTGAAACAGTAAGCAATGAATAATGAGTAATCAATATGGTGTTTAAATAAAAGTGTTTTTATTTACGCTCAAAAGTTTTGGGGTCATATAGGATTAATATTATTATTGCGTTTCACTTTGCATGTTTTGACTTCCAGAATAACTGGGTTATTCGAACCTCCACAGTCGGTCATACGTTGGAAGTAGGTATGAAGGAAGACTGTCATGAATCTGTCTGTAGATTGTCTAAAGTGTTTAGACATAGCACAAGTTTGCTACAGAGTTCATGAGTGCTTTGATAAGATTAAAGTATTGGATTAAACCCACGCTCACTTGAATCACTTCATGGATTTATCACGGGTGATTAGTGAGACGATAACATTGTATATTCTTGAAACCGAGACGTGTGAGTTGTTATTTGCTGGTCGGTTGCACATTGATGATAAGTAAACGCACCAGTAACTTGGTGTTATAAAACTTATTGTTGTGTGTGATTTGACGAGTAAATGCAAGCGAGCATTTGAGTTGAAGTTTATCCATTCCTTTTACCTAAAGTGTGATAAAAGCGATATCTGTGGGCCCCTCGATGATTTAGTGATGACACCCTAAGCGCTTGGCCAAGCCGGGACTAAGTTGATGTGTTCAATTGTAGTCTGTTGTCAGTCGTCATAAATCAAATGTCGGGAAACAATACATAGACAGAGAGAATGATTTAAATCCATGTCTCATGTCTATACGATATCTTAAGAATGGAGGAATATATGATCCCTTATCTAAAGGACACGCATATCTGATAAGATCAGAGTTGACAGCGGCTTTTGAAAGCTACAATTGCTGATCAGGTTCTGAAGTTATGCAAAATAGTTATTAGACTTATCCAAGTGGGAGACTGTTGGATTAGTGTCTAAGTCCATAACTATTTTGGTATGTACTTGACCCGATTATGAGCATGGTCCTTTTGGGTTACCTTCACCATAGCAATATGTAGGATGAATTAAGGAGAGAAAGGTTTAATTATGATTTATTAATATATTATAAGACTAATATATTAAAGGAGAAATCATATTGTTTAACTAATATTAGTCAAGAATTAATTTTGTGACTAAAAGAGATTAATTAAACTTAGGGGACTGGAGTTGTAATTATAAGATAATTACGATTGGGCTATGGATCACCTAATAATATATAGGTTGGACGAATTCTATGGGAAGCCCATAAGGAATTCGTCCAAGGGATATGTTAAAGGAGTCCATGGGCTGCTTAGGGCCTAAGCAGTCAGATTAGGGTTTCCTAGTTGCAAACCCTGATAGCCTACATGTATATAAAGGACCCCTATGCCCCAAAAACGTGGCTAAGTGTTCCTTTAGGGTTTCCAGCCGTTTTTGGTGCCTCCCCTCTCTTCTCTCCTTCATCCAATTGCTTAGTGGTGTTTGTGACTCCATTAGAGGTGCAACACTTGAGGCACTAAGTTTTCTGAAGCCAATCAAAGCAAGGAATTGATTGTTATTGCTATATAACAATCAAAGGTAATTACTAAACCCTTATTTCAGTTCATCATATGTTAGATCTAGGGTTTATGGCTTTGGATAATCAATTGCATGTTCATTAGACAAACCATAGGAAAGACGCCAACAAAAGTTTGTCAATTTTTAGGACTGGCTGGCTATTACCGGAGATATATAGAAAATTTCTCTCGCATAGCCAAACCCCTCACAACATTAACCCAAAAGGAAGTAAAATTCATTTGGGGAGACCAGCAAGAAACAACTTTCCAAAAGGTGAAGGAAATGTTGTGTAGTGCACCGATACTATCCTTTCCAGAAGGTCTCGATGACTTCGTAGTGTATTGTGATGCTTCACATCAGGGATTGTGAATTAATGCAAAGGGAAAAGGTCATAGCTTACGCCTCAAGATAACTTAAGGTACATAAGAACAACTACACCACCCACGACCTAGAGTTGGGAGCGGTAGTTTTTTCCCGAACATTTAGCGTCGTTATATTTATGGAACCAAGTGTGTAGTATACACAGATCACAAGAGTTTGCAGCACATCTTCAATTAGAAAGAGCTCAACATGAGACAAAGAATATGGTTAGAGTTGATGAATGACTATGACTATGAGATTCGTTATCACCCAGGAAAGGCTAACGTTGTAGCTGACGCCTTGAGCCATAAAGAAAGAGTTAAACCGCACAGAGTCAAAACACTTACGATGACTATCCAATCAAATATAATCTCACAGATTAGGAGTGCTCAACTCGAGGCTTTAATGGAAGAAAACGTTAAAGAAGAAGGCCTCATAGGGATGGAAAGACAACTCGAAATTAGGAATGATGGAACGAGATATTTCATGAACAGGGTATGGGTTCCGAAATTTGGAGAGGTCAAGGAACTAGTCCTAAATGAGGCCCATAGGACTAGATATTTCATTCATCTTGGAGCGGATAAGATGTATCTGAACCTAAAGGCCTTTTATTGGTGGCCAAACATGAAGTCTGAGTTTGTGGCCTACGTAGGTAAATTCCTAACATCTTCCAAGGTCAAGTAAGAACATCAATGACCTTCGGGAGCAACTAGAGATTCCCGAGTGGAAGTGAGAGCAGATCGCCATGGACTTTGTTACCAAATTACCAAAGACTACTACTGGTTATGGAACTATATGGGTAGTTTTCGATAGATTAACCAAGTCTGCCCACTTCATACCAATAAAAGTGATGTATAAGATGGAGAAGCTGACTAGGACGTACCTTAGAGAGATCGTCAGACTGCATGGGGTACCCTTATCTATTATCTCTGATAGGGATAGCAGATTTACCTCTCGCTTTTGGTAGAGTTCGCAAAAGTCCCTTGGTATGCACCTGGATACGAGTACATCCTATCATCCGCAAACCGATGGTCAAAGTGAAAAAACCATCTAAACGCTGGAAGACATCCTATCGTCTGCAAACCGATGCGCCTGTATAAAATACGTTAGGGTCGTTAGATATCCTACAAAGATAGTAAATTAGGATCAGTAAATATATCCTATAAATATATCCTAAGAAGATAATAAGACGGAGATGGAGAGACGATCACAAAGGGACAACCACAAAGGAGATACCGTCGTCAAAAGGGAGAGGAATAGAGTTAGGAACAATCAAAGCTTAGATACCATTTTAGGATGCAATAATCCCTTTCCTTCATTCATACGTACAATTGAATACATTTACAAGATATACACGATTGGGCCTATAGAATACACACAATGGGCTAACAAATAAGGCTCTAATATACATGTGGGCTAACATACGCTAATATTAACAATTAAACTCATTAATTCATTGGTAGACGTAATACGATTTCACTAATGGCGTAAACCATGCAAGTTCTTTTGTTTTTTTTTTTGTCGTACCTTAAGGTTTTGCTAACAAAGAAGTGTCAAGAATCAAAAAACTTGATTTGGTATCACTTAATAAAGCTAATAAATCATCGTTCATTTTGAGCATTAACCTTACACAAGCACTAAAATATTTTCATTTATGTAAAAGTGTCTTGCTTTAATTGGTTTACCAATACATATAATCAGCAAATTCTCTTTAAAAGTAACATGATCTAAAAAGACCGCTTACGCACGCAAATCTTTTGGCATCGATCTTGTATCGCATAAATTAAAACCCTTAAAAACATATACGCGCAAATTCAATTCAATAGGATGCTTATTTTAAACACATAAATTTCATAATATATCTTTATATTCTTAAATCCGTTTGTTCAAACCCATATTATAATAAAGTATGTATACACACCATTTTATTATAATAATAAAGAATATATATATATACATACCAATTATATTTTGAAAGAATCTAAAACCCATTACTTAATTTAAGAAAAAATCGAACTTATAAAAAAAATTATTTCAAAAAAATCTCACTGGCTATGCCACGGGGTTAAGAGAACGTGAGAGAGGTGGGGTAGCATTGTTGTTGTTATGTTGTGGGTCTCTTCTTATTCTCTTTCTTTAATGCATTTTTTTAATATAAGTATTATACAACATTCACAATTTATTTTCATTCCTTTTTTAACCCCCCTCACTTCTCCCCCTCCTCTCTTCCAGGAAGCACATCATCATCTTCATCTTCTCCAACATTTCTAGAGAGAGAAACTGAGATTCTAGAGAGAGAAAGTAAGATATGGAAGGTGAAACAAGATCAAGATTCAAGAGAATATGCGTCTTTTGTGGTAGTAGCTCAGGAAAGAAACCAAGTTACCAAGAAGCTGCCATTGAGCTTGGAAAAGAACTGGTATATACATAATCTTTCTCATATTTATCATATACATTTCTTTATAATCTACATTGTTTTCAAGATTCTTTGTGCATGTATAACAACATTATAAACCCTAACCCATCTCGTTTTTCTCTTATCTTCTTCACAATCTAACGATTTAAAACCCTTTTTTCCAAGAACCCATTCGTTCTTTTTCGTTTCTTGATTTACTACTATTCAAAAAAGTTTCTATCTTTTTCACCATTTCGAACAAAAACAAGCTATACCCATAACCCATTTCATTGTTCTTTGATCTCTTATACTGTTAATAAATAATAATCCCCTTTGTTTGGTGATAAACGAAGAATGTAAGTTAGGGTTTATGTTTCGCATGAGAGAGAGAAGAGAGAAGAAAGAAGAGAGAGAAACTGCTAGCTGTAACCTGGGTGTCAGTTGAGCAGCCTTCTTGCATGATCGAAAGTTTATGGTGGAAGGGTGTAAGAAAACAAAACAACAAATTTATTTATAAAAACAAAAAAAAAAATAAACAAATAAAATGGTGTGCTTATGAATGGGGAACCAAACGTGCCTTGTTAGTATAATGTCCATTTCTTAAGCATGTTTTCACACAAAACAAAGTCGTTCATCATCACTTTTCGTTCATGGGGTTCGATGAAATTAATCCGTTTTTGTATTTCTTCAACATATTAAAAAATTGAATATTGAACAAAGTGTTCTTCAAGTAACTATTGTCTATATGTTTTTAGTTTTGTTTATTATGAAAAATGGTAAATAAGTGGGTGTGTGACACGTGTAAATGGTTTTTATGCAAATATTTGAAGGTGGAAAAAAGGATTGATTTAGTGTATGGAGGTGGGAGCGTGGGTCTGATGGGTCTTGTTTCTCAGGCAGTTCATGATGGTGGGCGCCATGTTCTAGGGTATGCTCTCTCACTAGCCTTTTCAATGCATCTATACATCTATATTTTTTATAAAAATTATAAAGATTTATATAATATTTAGTTATATTACGTTTATTAAACTCAAAACAGTTATACATTTGTAAAAAACTTACATCGGTTGCTTTAATTTTACGTTTCTTGTACATATACTTATATACTCTCTTTCTTGATCATGACCTTTGAATAAGTCTATACATCTATGATTTTTATTTTTATTTTTTTATTTTTTTATTTTTTATAAAGATTTATAATTTTATATGATATTTAGTTATGTTACATTTATTACACTTAAAACAGTTATACGTTTATAAAAACTTACATGGGTTGTTTTAATTTTACGTTTCTTACGTAACGTATACTTTCTTTCTTGATCATGACCTTTGAATTAGTCTATAATATATGATTTTAATTTTTTTTTTGTTATAAAGATTTACATGATATTTATTTATATTACAGTTATTAAACTCAAAAAAATTATACATATATAAAAACTTAAATGGGTTGCTTTAATTTTATGTTTCTTGTATATATTTAGTTATATCACGTTTATTGACGTAAAATAGTTATACATTTTTCTAATAAAGATTTCTATGATATTTAGTTATATCACATTTATTGACGTAAAACAGTTACACATTTTTTTATAAAGATTTATACGGTATTAAGTTATATCACATTTTATTAAACGTTACACATTTATAAAAACGTACATGGGTTGCTTTAATTTTACGTTTCTTGTATATATACTCTCTTGATCGTGACCTTAATTTTCGAGTATTTATAAAGATTTATATATAGCACTACTAAACTAATACAACAATTATATGTATATACAAGTAATAAACATATATACAAGAATGAATAATTAAAGAAATGGAAATTCGAGCTTATATAAAAGACAAATAAAGAACATATGTTCATGCATGTTTTCACATTACTCGATGAGAAATGAGTAGTTGCAGACATCATGGGATCAAATGCTTAAAAAACTCTGAAATCTGTACTTAATCAACCCCTTTGTCATTTTGTTTTTACCTTTTTTCTGTTCGAAACTGAACATAAACATCAAGAGTTTTAAAAAAGTCGACATATTTAATTTCGTGAAAGATTGAAACCATAATTTTTTTTCTATATTTTTTCTGAACGTTACACTATTTATACGAAACATCTTTTGGTCTATAAACACACTGTCAGTCCACTCTGGGACTTTTGTTCATAGAAAGGTAAAACATATCATGTAAAAAAAGCCTTCTTTTGTAGAAAGTAAGATACCTTTTTAATACCTTTTCGATCAAAAAATAGAAAGAAAAACGAAACCTAGTAAAATTACATATTTGCCCTTCTACTTCAACATACCTTTCTGATATTTTTTTATCGTGTTTCTCGCAGAGTTATACCAAGGACGCTAATGCCACGAGAGGTATATTTATATTCAGAAACCTTCAAATCAAAGTCGTCTTCTGATGAAATTCCCAGAGTTGTACATTGTGCAGTGGGAGTTGTACAGTAGTCTGAATTTGGGAATTAAAGTGTCGCCATTAATATATAGCTTCTTTATTATGATTAGACATGTCTTGATCATACAAACTGCATATACTCAACTCCACTTCACATCAATTTCGAAACTTTTTTGTTTCTTCGAACCATAAATAGCAATAAACCAACTTTTCTATTTCTAATTTGGTTACTCGTTCTACTCTAACTGATCTTGTTCTATTTCGTTTATAAAAAGTAAAAACAAATCATGTTTTCAACTATTTTCGTCACTTTAAAATGATGGGTTTTTGTTAAACTTATAAAAACTAGAATCTTTATTATAGTTTCGTGAATTGTTAAATTGATACATTTTTTTTATATAAAATTTTGTGTTTAATTGATTAAACAGATAACTGGTGAGACAGTAGGCGAAGTGAAAGCAGTGGCTGATATGCATGAAAGAAAAGCTGAAATGGCTCGTCAAGCTGACGCCTTTATTGCTCTTCCAGGTTTAATTTCGTTTTTTTTTTTAAACTGTTTTATTTTTTATAAAGATTCGTAATCTTGAGCATAAATGGATAAATTCCTAGGTATAATTTCTTGTTATTTAATAAACTTAATATTTTTTATGTATTCATGATCTTGTACATATTTGGATAATTTCTTTTATACAAAGGGTAATGTCACAAATGGATAAAAAAACTATTTGAGATGTTAAAAGACATCATTGTATTAAAAAGGTGTTATCAATAAGTAAACGACTCTTAACTTTCTTTCACAAAAATACTTTCTTAAAATGGTATTTTGTGAACAAACATTTTAGTTACTTATCTTTATTATGATATGTTTTTGTACATTTGTGTTCTTTGAAAAATCTTAAGTGATTCGTTACCCATTTATGAAACTAATCATTTTTAAAACACGTAATATTTTGTAAAAGATTCGTAATCTTGAACATAAACCACGTTATATTTTTATAATTCATAATCATGTAAACAAACCGATAAATTCCCATATATAAATCCTTTCTTAAAACATACGATATTTCATAAAGATTCCTAATCTTAAACAATTCCTTTTCCACACCACTTTACATTTCACAAAGATTCACAATAATCATGTAAATAAACGGATAATTTTTTTTTTATAATTAAAACCCTTTCTATAATTTCTTTCATAAAGATTAATAATCTTGAAAACATATATATGTGAAAAATCTCAGGTGGCTATGGCACTCTTGAAGAACTCCTTGAAGTTATCACATGGGCTCAACTCAAAATCCATCACAAACCCGTAAGAACTTGTACTTTATGCAACAACACTTGTTTCTCATTTCTCAATCATATTTTTTAATTAATTCACACTACAACAATTAATAAAAAGAAAATGGCATCTTTTTAATTGGTCAAATGCATCTTTACATGGTTCTCGAATATATTTTTATATATTGTAGGTCCGATTTATTTAATTAGAGTGAGTTTTTATTTAATAATAATATTATTTAATAAATGTATCGAACTTATTTTGTGGATCATGTCCAGGTTGGTTTGTTGAATGTGGAGGGTTACTATAACTCATTGCTGTCGTTCATAGATAAGGCGGTTGATGAAGGTTTTATCTCACCAACTGCCCGCCGGATTATTGTCTCAGCCCCCACCGCCGGTCAACTCGTCAGACAGCTAGAGGTTAGTTTATAATTATTTTAAATTTTTTCATATTTGATTATTATTGTTATTTTTAATAATGAAAAAGAATTGGTTACACATATTCGAAGAAGCTTGAAGAGAATGTTTAGAATAATAAAAAAAAAACCCTTTTGAGAGAATTCTATTTGATTATTATTAATACTATGAATAAATGATTGATTGAAGGGTGAATCTAAGAAAGTTTAAAGAATGTTACAATAATAAGAATCCTTTTGAGAGAATTTTCATGCAATATTAAAATCAAGAAAATTAGTACATTTTTGAGGGAAAAGTTTTTTTTTTTTTTTTTTTTTTTCATGGATGCTAAAGTCAAGAAAATTCTAGAAGTAACTTTTTCATGCATATTTAAATCAAGAAAATTGGAAAAATGGTTTTTGGCTTTACATGCGTAAAAGTAATTTTGTCCAAAAGCGTATATATTTTGGACCAATTTCATGCATACAAATTTACGATAATAATGAACATTTGAAAAAACTAACGTTTTCATGCGTATTATAATCAAGAAAATTAGATATATGATTTGCTGATTTTTTTTTCTTCTTTTATACGTTGTATAATATATTTTGTGCCAATTAGATTGATTTGTTTTTAATGCATAAGAAAATTAAAGACGTAACTTGATTTGATGATGCGTATTAAAATATAGGAATTGAAGATATATTAAAATATAGGAAATATGATTTGCTGATTTTTTTTTCTTCTTTTATACGTTGTATAATATATTTTGTGCCAATTAGATTGATTTGTTTTTAATGCATAAGAAAATTAAAGACGTAACTTGATTTGATGATGCGTATTAAAATATAGGAATTGAAGATATATTAAAATATAGGAAGTTATAAAATCAAGAGAATGAAATGAATAATTACATAATAAATAAATCCAGAGACTTAAATATATAGATCTGGATTTCAGGAATTTGTGCCGGAGTATGATGAAATTGCAGCAAAGTTGACGTGGGATGAGGTGGATAGACTAAATTATGTGCCGGAGGCCGGAGTTCCGACGTAGGTGGTGGCAATGGATGGTGGAGTTTTTTTGGGTGAAATTAGTAGTGGGGTTTATACAGTTTGGGGTATATATGAATGATATATATACAGACTTATGATATGGTACATCTCCAGGGGCATTTTTGGTATTTTGGCGGATTTATATCCTTTACAAAACTCTAAAAATATTAATGTATATGATATCATGTGGAGATGATACTTTTGTTTTAACCTTTTGCAAGTTTGATGCTTATTTTTATATTTTATGTTATTGTTTATGTGAATTTGTTAGCGACTTATTAAGAAAATCTATCTTAAGAAGATAATAATCTATATCTTAATATTTCCCTTATGTAACGGGGGTATTCTCGGAAAACAAATTAGTTCATATTAATAATGTAAATATATGAGAAAATAAGAAAATATAATATGATCATAATACTTTTTAAAGTTTAATATGTGTTATTAACTTTTGTACTAATACTATAAATTTTTTGATAATTTATATCTATTTTTATTTTTGTTAAATTAAATCTATTAACTAACCAAAAAATAACAAAATTTTATATCTAAGTATATGGGTTAGCGGGTTGATTTCAGGTCAAAGAGTTGACTAGTCATTTCGAGTTACTTTTTGCATGTTAAATTTATACAAATTAAATACATCTCTATATTAATTAACTAGATTATGACATGCGTTAAACGCGGGGAACATAAATTAAATACATATCACATTAATAGTTGACACTGTCTTAAGTGAAATTTTAATAAAAAATATGTAAGATTCATTTTTAGAGTTTTGAACAAAACTTATTAAATAAAAATATTTAATATTTATATTAGAGAAATTTGGTTTTTTAATATAGTAATTTTTAACATATATGATCCACGTGATCTTTGTTTTAACACAACATGATGCGACTCTTTGATTAAAATGTTGTGTAATAGGTTTATGAATTGACTTTGTTCGGTGTACTGATCTCTATGTAGGCTCATATGACTCTTTTCATGTTGTCCATATAAAATCAAAAGCAACAATAAGTTGCTGCATGTACCAACAACGTTAAATTCTGCAAAGAAATTCGATAAAAATTACAATTACAGTGTATTGCCATAACCATAAACATCAAATTCAAACATTGTAATTTGGTTAATTTCTAAAGTATTTTTTCCTTATAAGAATTAAAATATTATTTTTTAGGCTACACCCAATCACGTATACATATCTTCCGATCAAAGAAATTATTATAAAAAAAATGTCATGAACAAAAATATAATATTAGTTTCATAATTTGCCAAATGTTAACACTAATAAATAATAATGAACCTTCAAAACTCTTGCATTTTGGTCACTGCATCCAACTAACAAACGAAATTCAGTTTAGAGGATTGATTCAAGAAATGCATCCATGACTTCTTGTAACTGAATTTGGGGAAATGCTAAGACCTACTGAGATATGAGGGAACGATTTGTGAGACTATGGTTGGTTTCTGGAGGACAATACAAATTCAAAATCATTAACACATATCTTTCCTATATTCTTTAATTATCAAATTTAGATCAAACTTGTCAAAATCAAATTACAAAAAAAAAAAAAAAAAAAAAAAAAACCACCCAGATATTTAACCTACTAATCAAACAACATATTTTTCATAGAAATAAATATCACAAATCTACGGTTTACACTTTATATAATATTCTTAAATTATATCTTACATTTTCATCTTTAATAGTCACTAACACCTCTTTTTGTCTTATTGTTGTGACACGCATCTATATAAAAATAAGAGAAAGAACTATAGAGAACGAATGTTGACAGGGTGATCCTTCATTGAAAACATAACAAAATTCTTCATAGATCAGTTAGGATTCTTCTATAGATCGCTAGAAGGTCTCTATAGTGACAATCGGTGTGACATTTATGAGAACGCACCATTTAAAGTAACAATTTTGATTAATGTAAGTGAAAAGTCATTTAGAATGCTTACCAGTTGTGACTATTTCCACTTCGATGTGAACATTAACATACTAGTAGAGAATTAGAACTTCAAATAAACCATATATAGCCAAATCAACAAACATGACAACACAAAAAGAAGCCTAAATTGACATATAACCAAATTTCAAAATTTTAATGTTTCGCTAAACAACTTTTTCAATTTATCAAAATTTTATTTTATTACAACCTTATATGAGTAATCAAGAATCTAAAGTTAGTGAAAGAAGTAATTGTTCATTTAAAGCCTGTAAAAAAAATACAATATTATGAAATTGCTTATAATTTACATGTTTGCTTATTGTCCAGGAGATACCCAACCACTTGGACATGCACTATTATTTGATTAATTAGTGCATAAATTACATTATAGAATATGAAATTTAAGAATTATTCAGATTCATTTACACTTGATTTAACAATATAAAATAGACAAATTTATAATCATAAAAGTATGCTTAATTCAACAAATTTGTTATCAAAATTAATGGAAAACTAAGTTTTTTGAAGAAA